ACACACACACACACACACACACACACACACACACACACACACACTCCACTCCCTTCCTATGATAATCAGGAACAAATGTCCTAGGACATTGTGTGCTATTGCACCTTCTGAAGGAGAGGACAGGAAGTCCTCCATGTTGAGTCTCTTTCTTAATGGGTGCCTGAGGCATCTAGAGGGTCAAATAAAGCAAGATAAACAGAAATATTTGTGCTGTCCTTTGGACAAGGAGATGAGACCACTGACCCACCATCAGAATGCCATCCTGATTTTTTAACAAATCCACTTTCTATGGTCTAATCTCCAAATTTCTGAAGATAGGGTGTGACTGGCCAAGGAAAGTGGTGTACTATGTGTCCAGAGAATGGGAAAGGGACAAATCCAAGATTTGAGTGGGCAAAATGGAGTCTTGGAGGACCCTAACCTGAGTACTAACCATTATGTATACTGTTTCTTCAAAAGTGGCTAGTTGAAAAGCGATAAACCAGGTTTTACTTGATTCACTCTTTTTAGTATGCTAATAAGTGCATATTTGTTTTCAAATAGGCCTAAAGAGCTTTTTGACATCTTCTCTGACGTCCCACCTTCTGCCCCTTACAGGCTCTGCCTTGGTGGATGGTAACTGATGTCAGTTGATAGATCTGGCTTCACGACCCTTGGATGAGAGATGCATATAGTTTCTGGCCTTGCAGCACAGTCAGAAAGTGCAAACAAAACATTTCAATAATATAAACTGTTCTAAAATTTCAGCTGTATTTCTTGGTTACATTAAAAAAATTATAGAAAGCTAGAACTAACTGCAAAGATGAAAAAACCACTAGCTTTTGCAGTGCTCTGTCAGGTTGTAAATTTATTTTGCTTCAGTAGTTGATTTAGTGACAGGCTAGTTCATGTTTAGAGTCCTGGCGAATGCCAATTAGGTAGGATACAGGATACAGGAAATGGCAGAGGCCTCAACTGTTTCATTTTTCACTGCCAAATTAGCAACAGAAGACTAAAAAAATGGCCTAAGAACTTGCAGAGGACTGAAATGTTTGGTTTTTTGGTACAAGAACCAAATGCCACTTCTTATTGGGGTTTATGTCAAAGCTATTTCATTAGGCTTAAAAAAAGTTTTTCCCCCTAAGAATTAGCTACTGATGTTGAAATAACATACAGAGCAAAAATGATCAAAATGCTGGAGATAAGAGAAAGAAAATACTATTAAAGGAAAAGGCCTGCTCTTTGGGATTAAGTTTGTTATAACTGGAGTTTATATTTTCAGAAACAGCTCCTGGGAATTTTTTTACTTTAGTCATGATGAATCAGGAGGGCATGTGGTGTAGCATTCTCTAATCCAAGGGACGTAGAATTGAATGCGGTCAATAAGATTCTTCCTTTCACACCAAAAGGACCTCACAGCTCATAAAGTACATTTCATCAGAGCAATTACGCCATGATTTTTACTTGCTTAATCTTAACCTGAGGACTGAGAAAGAACGTCAGTACTGTTTGAGCTAGAATGTACTCTTTACCAATCGATATGTCATTTAAGAGATATACATCTCTTTTACTTTAGCAACCAGCACTGATAGAAATTATTGTAAACTGTACTATAGACTTATAAGATTCCATGGTAGGAAAAGGCTATATAACTAAGGTAGTCGCAAGTCCTTAGGCCAGTGCAGCCAGAATACTGTGAGAAGTGTATCAGCTTTGAACTGTTATGGGAGCATCTCATGGCCATTAGCTGGAGCCAGAGAAACTCTGTAGACTTATGGAATAGTGTAGCCCAAGGTGTATTAAGTCATTGCACATAGTGGAGTCCCGGTCTTTTTTATAAAAGTAGAGAGAGCAAGTTAGTTCTGAGTCCCTGTGTTTCCCATACAATTACCTAAACACTATAGCAGCTCCCAGGTACTGAATTGCTTATAAAGCACTGAGCATAGTGGCAGGCATATATGTGTATGTTTATAATAAGTTATAGTATGTCTGCCACTATATCAAATTCTTTAAAAACTACTGAATTGCTTATAAAGCACTGAGCATAGTGGCAGGCATATATGTGTATGTTTATAATAAATTATAGTATGTCTGCCACTATATCAAATTCTTTAAAAACTGTATCACAGTATATACAACTTCTTTATGAGGTAGGTATTATGATATATGTTGCACAGAGGAAACTGAGGATAATAATACAGGCTTAATCATTTGTCTAAAGTTATGCTACTAGGCTTTGGTGAAACTCATATTTGAAATTAAGTCTATTACAGTCCAGAGCCCAAGCTTTAGACCAGTACACTCAAGTGATCCTGCCAGTCAATGGCTGTTCTTGCTACATTAAAACATTTATGAAGATTTCCCATGGATTTTAGGTAGACCTTTGGGATGCAATCACATGCAATATAAATGATATTTTAAATTAATTTATATTCTGCTGAATTCCACAATGGATTTGAATCAGCTATTCCAAAACTATAAGGCTGCAGCATTTTTCCTCTGTTTTGATTCTTTTGTTTTCTTTAAGAATACATGATTTTGCATTCACTTGCTAACGTACACACACATTGGATATTTTGGGCCCTAAGCACAGAATGACTAAGGAGCTGACCTATCTCTAGAGGGGCTGAGCAAGCTCAAACCTTTCCTTCTCAAGTGCTGTAATCTCTGATGCAATTACAGATTGGTGATGTGGCTATATACGCTTCATGGCCAGAGGATTTCTGGGACATCTGATGTTATACCAGTTTCCGTGCCAATTTTCTTAATTAATAGAGTAAAAAGTCAAATGCCAAGGATGTCTGGCAAATCTCCACTGGATTGTAATTAAATGCTCTATAGACTGAGATGATCGTTTGATACCAGCAGGAAAGGAGGATATTTTATTTTATTTCATAGAAAGAAACACCAAAGAAAGAGTGTTTGTGAATTTGGGTTACAAGTTATCAGAATTCAGAGTACAGTGGCCAGCTTTCCTCCTAAATAAGAGGATACTTACTTGAGAGGAGAGTGATAAAAGGATATTGCATTCAACCTTGCAAGCTGACCTGTGGGTGACAAAGGACACAAACAAGAAAGGTGACATGTCAAGTCTGTGATGCAGTCAAGCTGGTGAATTATTTGGCTGGAAGCCATGCAGGGAGAGAGAGAGAGAAAGAGAGTCCAATGAATGATTCATTCAACAACCATTTGCTCACAGAGCATTCAAGGAAAACCACTTCGACATTCTCCAGGGCTTATGTCCTGAGGAGGGACACACAGGCCTGTTATTTTCTCCCAGCCCCTTTCCTGCCCTTTCCCTTGAAATCATGGGGCATGGAAAGGAAAAGAGAGAGAGAGAAGGAGCTTAAGATTTACCAGAGATGACAAAAACTCCAACTGGCTCTTAAGTCATTAACAGAATTTCCCTTCATTTTGCTCGGATAATGTTAAATTCCTAATTCATTAAAATAAATAAAAACCTAATATTTTATATGAAGTGGTGAAAGGCTGCCTCCCTTTAAAAAAAATAAACTGCTAGAATTTCAGTTACTGTTGTCACCGTAATCTGGAAACTGATATGAGCTCACAGAGTGATGCCTGAGAGGTGCCTCTCATAGCATGAACCAGAACATTGATTACGTAGCCTCATCTCTCTCTCTCCCTTCGTGCAGCAGAGCCAATGAGATACGTGTAGGAATGCCGTTCCTCAGCCTTCCCAGAGACACCCTGGCAGCTTCATTCCAGGATAATTTCCTCCTGTGGATGATCCATAGAAGTTGCAAAGAAAGAGCGCTCTCCCTGGGTTTGCAATCAGGCGACTTTGTTTCTGCAGCATAGGAGCATGGCTCTACATATATAGTCACTTTTTTCTTTCTCCCCCCCACCCCTTTTATTGTTTGATTAGACCAACCTTTTAAATGCTCCTGAAAAGTGGTTGTTAAACTGAAAAGGCTAATGGAACATTCCAAAATGGCAAAACTTTTGTTTTATATTGTTGGGGTGGAGTTGGTGGCCTTCAGTTTCCTTCTTGATACCTTCTTCCTGGGAAAATATTTCAAGGCTTAATCCATAAACATATGAGAAGTAGGAGACAATTTATTTTCTCTGCTTCTCTTCCTTTCACTAACACAGTAAAAGAGGGCCACTGCTACTGTAAGAATGTGGAGAAAGCTTGTCTGGCTATTGGACAGAGAGTCTGACAGGATAAAATAAGCCCCAGGGGGCCCGGGGAACAGCAGGTCACAACCCCAAAACATCCCTGAACTCCCAGAACCCCAACAACACACCCGAGGATTAAAGGGAAAGGAAACAAACAAGAAAGACAAACAAGGCAGTCAACAGTCTCCATGGGGAAACGTATCACCTCTGTGACGAGTTACCAATTACATTTATTCCCAATTGCACGTGTTATGTTCAGTGGATTCTCAGATGGGTTGATTTACTCCGGGACGTCTGAAAATCTGTCCATCCACACCTTGCTGAACACGGGCCTACAGTTCCCCTGACATTTCTCTATGAGGTTTGTCCCCCTCCTACTTACATTTGACATGAGGTGGGCAGGGAGGAAGCCTGAGGACAAATATTTCAAGGGAGGAGATGTATATTTATGCTTATTCAATTTCCTTGTGCCCTGTTCTCTGTATCCTTTTTTTTTTTTTAATGTATGAGAAAAAGCATCTTTCTTAATGATCCTGGAGGAGGAGTTTGAACTGTTAGCTACCATATTTCTGCAAATATAACAAGGTCTTTTTTCATTTTCCAGACCAGGTTTATGAGACTCCATGGTGAGTGACAGCTATAAGAAACATATAAAATTTTTACTGTCTAGAATACATGGATTAAGGAATGCATTTAAAATATATTCTAGAAAGGCAGGGTGGAATGAAGGAGAAGGCATGGATTTTGCAAGGACTGGAAGAGACCCAGTCTGCAGGGTGGTGACAGGAGGGGTGGGGCAGGGCGGGGTGGGCCTGGGTCCCTGGTACCTGATAGGCTTCATCCTGCAGCTTCTGTTTCAGGTATTCCTCCATCTTGAGCTCATTCTCCAGCTGCCGGACTGAGTCATCTTCATAGCTCTCATCCTCGGGCCGCACATAGGGGTCCCCATCTTCTGTAACTCTGAGAATAAACCACAGATGGCGTTTGGGAGCAAATCTTAAAAGAGCAGTGTGAGTGGAATTCATGTGTTCTGTAGTTTTATAGGCACATTTATTTCCCTTTAGTCTTCCAATTCACTTTCATGTCTTCTTTTACCTAAAGGAAATTTTTTTAATAATTTGGAGGTTCGAAGCAATATGTGATCAAGGTATTTTCATACTCAATATTTCTATGGCTGTCTGGTGATCACTGGTCATCTGTGTTTCTCTAGGGTTCACAGGAATGAGTTGGCTTTTTAGATGTTCTATAGTCTTAAAGGGAGACTTATATAAAGTTTTGCCAATCTGGGGGCTGTTTTGTTTTTTAAATGGAATTCAAGAATACTTTCTATAAGGAGAGTGAGCCCTCTAGTGAAATAATGCGTAAAGACATTCATTCATAATTTAACCCTCTGTTTGTTAGACACACAGACACCCTCCCACACACTCACGCTTTATTATTTTTAGGAGAATCAAGTCTCAGAATATCAGCTAGTTGATGCTCTTGACCTTAAAAATTTAGACTAGCTCTGAATCTGAAAAATCTGTTTCAATTGTTCAATTGCACTGTGAAATAAATAGATAAGAATGACTTCATCCACTAATGTGGGACACTATCTCCATCTGTTCACTCAGAACATGTAAAGCTCTTCATAAGTTCGCTCCCTAAATCATACAAACGAAATATTGTCAGGGTAAAACACAGTACATGTTTAGACAGTACAGATATTAAAATATCCCTGAAAATAAAAGGAGTGGTCAAGGAGAAGTTTTTGGACTGGAACACAAATGTCATTGCTCGTGTTTATTTATATCTGTACAACATGTTCTCGTTATTTCTGGAGGTTTGGGGCCAGCCTGCATGGGTCACGAGGCCTCTATGTACTTTTCCTCCCCAACATTGGGTCATGAGTTGATAGCTAGTACTGCTGTCCAGCGTTCCAGGGACAGCAGATTGGATTGGCTTTAATAGTCTTGCATTTTAGGAGTAGGACAAGGGAATTTTAGGAAACCACCATGTACATGCTTAATAATAAAAAATCAAAAAGATATGTACTTCAGACAAAACAGATGACAATTAATTCACCATGCTGGGTAACAAACAAAACAATTCTAAATTATAGAGGAAAGGGCAAGAAAGCAAACTAAAATTAAAAGCAGCAGCATACTGCCATGTAAAATTATCCTATAACTATCTTGTTTTGATCTCACACTCTGTGGCTTCACAGCTGGCTTTCAAACCACGTTTCTTCCTGATTCTCCATTATTACCAGTCTTTTACTCACTAGTTGGACCGAGCGCCAAAATGCCAGAAAGGCCTTGGTTAGTTTCTCCTTTGGGTCTTTAAAATGGCCAGTTTATTTCTGTAGACTACTCTGCAGTGGTACTACTACTTTCTTCCCTCCTAAGCCGGGCTCTGCAGCTCTGTCCAGCTCTGCCTTGGTGTCTCCGCTTTGGTTTCCTCTGCTGACTACTTTGAGCTGATCCCGGTCACAGAAAGCCTAGTGGGAGCGTCACTGATTCTGCTAGCTTCTGTCAAGCTACAGAAGCCTAACTGGGTGAAAATCTTTGCAAAATAAGTCTTTTGAGGGTCAGATTTATATATATATATTCAATAAATCAACCAAACTGAATTTGTTTATAATGGGAATTTAGACATTTACTTATTTCAGTTCCAGGTGTTTCCAAGATGCTTTTTTACATCCACTTGGGACAGAAGGCTTTTTAGCATCACGGAGTCCTTTAAGTGCAAATACAGTAAAGCTGGAAGACTTATCTTGTAAATTAGTCTGTGAGTCCTGGAAGGGTGAGAATGGTTTTTAAATACTATTTTGTGTATAACTAGCACAGTGCCTTGGGCAAGCCAGGCTCTGTATAAGCACTGCTGGTTCAGGTTTTTAACACTCCCTGGAAATTTTAAGGGGGAAAAGGCACGACGCCATGTTTAAGTGTGGCACCCTTCTACCTCTTCTGGTGGAAAAGTAAACTGCATCATTTCTTTGCAAAATAAGAACAATCATGTTTTTAGTTTCTTGTTGCTCCCTACAGATTGTTCTGTCACTGAGGCAATAAACTCCAACTGGAAGGTACTCACATGTCGCCGTGCATGGTGCTTGTGGTAGGTCCACCGTGAATGTACCCAGGTTTTCGGGCGTGGATTTGTGCTAGAAAAGCCTTTTCAGAGGTTGGTGATGGAACCAGATCCTCAAACTGAGTCCGTGCAAATTCAGAGTCCACATTACTCTCTGTTTCACTCCCCACCTCTAGTAGGTACAAGTGAAGAAGTAGAAAACAACTTGTTAGATTTTTTATGACCTGCAAATAAAGGACTTAGCCTAACATAAATCAATATGCCCTGTATAAAGCATTAACCAGCTGTTGTACCTTAGTCAAATACATGTTAAGTTTTTCATAATGAGAATTGATACTAACATGAATTATTATAAAGTCATTTGGTATACAGCATTTTGTTTTTTAATCTCACAAATGTTATGAGGAATTTTTGTGTCTTAGTAACTGACTTAACTCCTTAAACCTTCTACTTTTTAACCTCTATAAAATTCTTTATTAAAATTGTTGTTACTCTTGCTTAATCTTACTCTAATTTAGGAAATACAAACATAACTTACTACATTTGCTTAATAGTTCAAGGAATTATAAGAATATAAATTAATAGTACTTGAGACTTCCACAATAACTTTTTCATCATCATTTGCTAGGGTAGTGGGTATCTGTCACTAATAACGATTTATTAACTACTATCATTTTATCCTATTTGGTAATCTTAATCTAAAATAGCAGCAACAATTTCTGATTACTTTAATTCTTATTCAAAAGGCTTTAAGAAATTTAAGTCCAGGATTTTTTTAATACTGGTTTTATTTCTTATTGTTGTGATCTCAACTATAAGATCACAGTACTATCAGACAAATATCTTGCTAGGTGTGCTTTAAGGATTAGATGTATCAGTAACTGGAAAGATATTTACTTCCATATTCATGCTGCTAAAGTTTTTAAAACCCTGTGTCATAAAGTTAACCAAGGATGTGAAAAATCTCTACAAAGAGAACTACAAACCACTGTTGAGAGAAATTAAACAGGATACAAGATGAAAATATATCCATGCTCTTGGATTGGAAGAAATAACATTGTGAAAATGTCCATATTACCCAAAGTAATCTACAGATTCAATGCAATCCCCATCAAAATTCCAATGACATTTTTCTCAGAAATGGAAAAACTATCCAGACATTTATGTGGAATAACAAAAGACCACACATAGGTAAAGCAATCCTGAGCAAAAAAAATAAAGCTGGAGGCATAACACTATCTGACTTTAAACTATACTACAAAACTATAATAACCAAAACAGCATGGTACTGGCATAAAAACAGACACATGGATCAATGGAGTAGAATAGAGAACCCAGAAATCAACCCATACATCTATAGTCACCTGATCTTTGACAAAGGCACCAAGTCTATACACTGGGGAAGAGACTGCCTCTTCAGCAAATGGTGCTGGGAAAACTGGACATTCATATGTAGGAGAATGAAACTAGACCTGCACCTCTCACTATATACTGAAATCAACTCAAAATAGATTAAAGAATTAAATATACATCCTGAAACAATAAAACTCCTTAAAGAAAACATAGGGGAAACACTTCAGGAAGTAGGAGTGGGTACAGACTTCATGAATATGACCTCAGAAGCACAGGCAACTAAAGGAAAAATAAACAAATGGGATTATGTCAAACTAAAGAGCTTCTGCACAGCAAAAGAAACAATCAAGAGAGTGAAAAGACAACCAACAAAGTGGGAGAAAATATTTGCAAAATATACACCTGATAAAGAATTAATACCCAGAAAATACCCAGAACTGAAACAACTTTACAGCAAAAAAACAAGTAACCCAATTAAAAAATGGGCAAAGGAGCCGAATAGGCATTTCTCAAAGGAAGATATACAAATGGCCAACAGACACTTGAAAAAATGCTCAACATCACTCAGCATCCAGGAAATGCAAATCAAAACCACTTTGAGATACCAGCTCACCCCAGTTAGGGTGGCTAAAATCCAAAAGACTGAGAATGATAAATGCTGGAGAGGTTGCAGAGAAAAAGGAACTCTCATACATTGTTGGTGGGACTGCAAAATGGTGCAGCCTTTATGGAAAATAGTATGGAGGTTCCCCAAACAATTACAGATAGATCTACCATATGACCCAGCTATTCGACTTCCGGGAATATACCCAGAGGAATGGAAATCATCCTGTCGAAGGTATACCTGTACTCCCACGTTTATTGCAGCACTATTTACAACAGCCAAGAGTTGGAACCAGCCCAAATGTCAATCATCAGATGAGTGGATAAGGAAACTGTGCTATATCTACATAATGGAATACTACTGTGCTGTAAAAGGGAATGAAATCCTACCATTTGCAACAACGTCGATGGACTTAGAGAAGATCATATTAAGTGAAACAAGTCAGACACAGAAAGAGAAATACCGCATGTTCTCACTTATTTGTGGGAGCTAAAAATAAATAAATATACAAAAAAATAAAGGGGGGGGGAAGAAGACACAACAATCACAACAATTCCTTGAACTTGTTAAGACAAGTGAACAGACATGATGTATTGGGGGGAGAGGGGAGAAATGGATGAGGGAAAGAGGACTGGGTAAAGGCACACAAAAATCAACTACAATGTATATTGAGAAGTTAAAATACAATTCCAAAAATAAAAATAAAAATAAATAAAAATAAAAACTCCCCGTCATATTAGGAGGATAAAGAGTGTCTCACAATTTTACGCTATTCATTTTCTGGGCAGATCTTTCTTTGGAGATACTGCAAAGGTAGATTTCAGTTTTGCCTCATTCAAATAGTCATGCTTTCCAAATTAACAGTCTAAATAGGTAAAACATTTGACTCCATAAAATAACTTTAACATTTTGTTACTTTGGATCACCATACATGTGAACAGTGGTTATCTTTGGATTCTAGAATTACAGGTCAATTGAAATATTTTTCTTTATTCTTTTCTGCATTTTTCAAACTTTTCTGCATTGAGTATGTATTAATATTCTTCTAATAAGCAAAATATAAACTTTACTAAAAAATATGAATATACAAACAAAATATCACACAGATCTTTAGAAAAATCTTTTTATATTTGACTATGAGCAGATCCCCAAAAGAGGCCCCTAGCATTTATGGATCCCTCTGCAATAAGCAGACAAATGAGAGGGCATCAGGGACTCACCAGAATTCAGCTCTTTCACGAGAGAAGACATGGTGTTAGTGATGGAATCCGCTGCCACTAGCAAGTCATTCCTTAAATTTCTCCTTGAACCTTCAGTGAAGAAGAAATAATAGTTTAAAAAGTCAAAGCTTTTTCTTTTCTCCAAATTTTTATGTTGTTTGTCATTCCCATTAGTAACCTAAAGAAAGAAAACTTCTAAGACTTCTCTTTTTCAGAAGTGCTTTGGCTCATTTTCTGAAAGAATACACTGTGGCCCCTGACGTCAGAAGACATGGCTGATGATGGGGGTTCATATAACATACAATCCAAATTGGGACAATTTTGAAAGTGAAAGGAAACAGTGTTAGTAATAAGACCAGGTGACCTGGCACAAACTGGGATGGTTCCAGCTAAACCATCACGTAAGGTCATCCTTGATAAGAATAATCCGCACAGATGAAAAGTGTGGTTTTGCCAGGGGAACTATGCCTTCCTCGGTGCTGGTGTCATTCCAGCCATTACCTCGTGGCTGAACACATTGAATTCTGGTCTCTATTAGCACAGGCTTCATCTCCTATCAGGGTTCCCAGAGAAATCCATGCACTGAGTGTGGAAAAGGGGCAAGGATTCTTGCTCCTGCTGCCAGACCATGGGCAGATGCATGTCTGGTACGCTGCATTGGAACTTAGATCATGTTGGAATTTAGTCTATGGTAGAGAAAGGTTATTATTATGTTTCAGGGATGCTAAGAGTTAAATGGATATTTGTGGGCTGGCTTGGGAGTAGGGCAAAGATGGAGATGGGATAGAGGGCTACTCACCATAATGTCTTTGGACAAAAGAGTTCAAGATTCCAAATCCCTGACTTACAAATGAACTCTTTATGAACTAGGGGCTCCTATAGGCCCCACTTCATTCTGTTATTTCTCAGAAAGTAATAATAAATAAGTAAAATAATAAATAAATTTAAATTTAAATATCAAAATAGGTAGGTAAAAACATTTATAATAGAAAGCACAAATTGATTTAAAATACTGTAGATTTCTTTAAAATATGAGTTAGGGAAAAGACATTTTTCCTTCTAAAAATTAGAAAAAGAAAGTTATTTTGTGAATTACATAAAAAAACCCCTCAAATTATATTCAGTGCTTAGAAGAAAAAGCCCTAATAAGGATTCTCTCATTTCCCTCAAAACAGAGAGTCCATCATTCTCTCCTATTAAAAAGTTTCAAGATTTTTATCCCTGATTTTTTCTCATGCATGAGAGTGTTTCTTCATGCTTGTCAAAAGACAAAATTACAACAAATTTATAGATCTCAAATGATTTTTATTTGTGATTCTAGAACCGGGCAACACCTCATTCTTAAAATAGGATGATGTTCCAAGGAGCTGAGCAGAGGAGGTTGGCTTTATAGACAGAAAAAGGCTGAGAAACGCAGAAACAGAAATCAAAAGTGCATTGGTCATTTCAAAGTTACTTTCCTAGTAAAGGTTAAAGCAGAAGGGACTTCCTTATGACGCCCATTAAGATTGGTCTGTTCAGGGATTTGACTATAATATCTCTCTTCTTGATTTCTTGGGAGGTCGGATAAACACCTTAGTTTTGGCTAGGTGGTGTGGAACTGCAGCAAGAACTCCGTTCTGATTTGGTCTGTTGGGTCTAGTGCAGGAGCTCAGCCCAAACCAATGGCCCTCTATAAATTTTGTTTAACACACTGTTCCTATCCCTGGATATTATCTATGTTAAAAATTGTTTTTTGTTTAATCTGCTGGGCAAAAGGTAAAATTTATTTAAATTTGTACTTCTACAATTATTTGTGAGGTTGACCATCTTTTTGTATTTTTATTGGCAATTTATATTTCTTCTGTCTGCTCATATCCTGTCTTTGTTGTGGGGATTTCTTTTTCTTACTAATAGCTGCATGCTTTATGTATAACTGAAATTATGAAACCCGATTGCCACATATGCTGGAAATGGTTTTCTCAAGTTTGTTTTTTGTCTTTTGACTTTATGTTTCACTTTGCCTTAAAATTTGTAGTCACATATGTCTCTTTCTTTCTTAGACCTCTATGTGTGGGCCTAGAGGGATGTCATGATATATTGCTCATTTAAAGAAAATGCAAATTGCAGACCAGAATGCAATGCATGATCTTATTTATGTGAAAAAAAAGTATGTGTCTGTAAACACACACTTAAAGACATCTATTTATATATGAGGATACTTCAAAAAGTTCATGGAAAGATTTGTATTATGTTTTAATTCTATTTTCCCACAAACTTTTTTTTTTTTCTGGCAGCTGTCCGGTATAGGGATCTGAATCCATGACCTTGGTGTTACGAGGCTGCACTCTAACCAACTGAACTAGCTGGACAGTCCTATTTTTCACAAACTTTTTGAAGTACCCTTGTATAAGCCAAAAGCTGGGAAGGACCAAGCTGTTAATAGTGATCGCTTCTGGGAATGAGATTGGCTGGGTGAGGGTCTGCAGGAGGATTTTTTTTTCTTACTTTCTATAAATTTAAAAAGTGATGGAAGAAAAAGTTTTAAAAAGTGTTAAAAAAAAACACTTCTAAATTAATAAAATTACTTCCCTTGGGGTCTCTTGGCCAAGTGTAAATGGATCTGAATCAGGACTCTGTAAAATGACTAAATATCCTTCTCAGTCACCTCAGAGCTAAAGAATTGGGATTATTTAATCTCAGTCTTAATTTTGCTTTAATGTTAAGAGAAGACAGCAGGAAATAAGATCTTTCAGAATTTTTAAATGGATTATATTTATAAAGTTTCCTGGGATATTGGTAAAAAGATTTCTCTTCCCTTGACGCACAAAGACTGCCTAAAAAATGGGGTAGGGTAATAGAAGCCAGAGGAAGGTAAACCTGTGAAGTGAGGGACAGATTCATGTGCATGGCTCTGACACAAGCCATGGAATATCCTAGAACACTCAAGTGTGGCTCTGATGACTCTCAACCACTCCATAAACCTTGGTAGCTTATTTGCCACATCAAAGCAGATCACAACAAAAAATAAAGCCACTTACTTTGTGCAAAGGCCTCTTGCACGTCTCCCCCTACCCCTGTGAGAGAGTCCTGAGGCGTGTGCGTTGGGGTGGAGCAGGCCGATGCTGACCGGATGGGCATGGGGATTGGCCTGCTGGTGGTGTGGCTGGGGGAGGAGCGCGGGGAGCCTGCCCCCTGGGTCTGGAGAGACAATGCAAGTCGTTAATTTGTTTTCCCAAGCAAATGCCATATGCCAACCCCAGTGCCTCAGTCAAATGTTAAAAACAGTGACAATGAAATTCCCAAACAGGAGGAAATCCTAGGTCATTGAGATGGTAAGCCTGAACCTGAGATGCAGGTGCAGATAATTTAGGACCCTCCTATGTACAATGTGAACTTTTCTTATATATAATATGGGTTAAATATTGAAAGCTAAGAATATTAGTATAGCATTGTTCTACAATACAGTACTAGGTGTGTGACCATATGATGAAGCTCTCGTTAAATACAGATAATGACAAGGTGTGTATATTTTCTTCTTGAAGGAAGTTTGCCGAATAAAAAGATATTAAGCAAAAGTTTTAAATAAAAACTAGGAGACTATTTGGGAGGGATATGATTTATATGCTTCCTAAATTTTCAACATTTCTGTCCTGGCATCATCTTTGGAGGATAATTCACAGTTTAAATTGTGTCTTGCAATAGTGTGCATATTAAGCCTCAAACTAAGAAAATGTTTTTCTCTTCACCTGTGAAAAAGCAGTATTCTATCAGGACAGTAGTAAGAATAGTAGGATTTTAAAATGAGTAAAGAAAAAGTAGAAAACAACTAAAAAGTGACATCTTTGCACTACATGAGTCTTTGGCATGAAACCATCCTGAGACTGTTGCAGCTTGAATGTTACGGCTTTATCGCTACAATGAGGTCCCTTGGAAACATTCTCCCTGTTTTAATAATTACTTGACAAAGGAAGTCAGTCACACATGCGTAAGAAAATGCAAAGAGCCCCTCAAGTGCGTACACAACAGATTAGGTGTTCACATCCATTCCATCCCAGTCTGCGGGGTTGGTCTGGCCAACCAGGGTGAGAACTCTTCCATAGTAAGGCCCAGAGATGACCCACCCACCCATTCAAACTCCTAGACATGCACCACGCTAGAGAGCAGTGCTCTGGGATATTCAATTTAGAGCTTTGTTTTGGGCTCAGCTGCTTGCAATTAAAACACACAGCATCAATCCTGTAAAGTGCCATGCTGTTAGCTCTCCAGGGCTCAGCATCATACATAATTGTCAAATCTATACGTTGAGAAAACCCCAGAATTAAAAATGAAACAAAGCAGAACACAGCACAGAAAATAACTCATGTAGTGCCCGGTGGGCTGAGGTTTCCATTCTTTCACTCTCAACAGTACCTTGCAGTGGTCTGTCCAGGCCCAAGGAAGAGAATTTTGCCCGGTTGCGACACTTTGCAGCCTGCTTTTCACAGCCTGCTCAAGGAGGGTCTGGTTTTCCCCAGCAAATTTTGGCAGCTCAGCCCATCACCTTCAAACCTTCTTCTTCTGAGCTACGACTGCACCCCCCAGCTTCCCATGCCGATAATCAATAACTTCAGATTTGAGTTGTGCTTTAGGGTGTCCAGAGGGTTTTCACGTATAGTACATTCTCACTGATGAGACCCTATGGAGTAGGCTTTGTCACTCTTAATGTGCAGTTGTGGGTCCCAGTGCTCAGAGAGGTGCAAAGAATTGCTCTATCAGGAGATGGAGCTGGGGTAGCAGGGCTGGTGGCTTAGTCCAGGTGCTCTGGGTACCCTGGGCTATAGGAACCTTGACGGGCTACAGGTGGTGGAGGGCCCCTCAATGTTGACAGATGTTGGTCAGGAGCCCTGAGGTCTGCCTACCCCTGGCAACCCCATCCCCGCTTCCCTGTCATCCTTTTCAAGGCAGAGCCCCCAGCAAGGCTCCTGGGCCTTTCTCATCTGTCCTTTTTACCCAGAGACCAGTCACAGCAGGAAGAGGGGACGAGAGATGGGAAGGTGAACAGAGTGGTTGAGGGAAGTAGGCTCCTCTTGGCTATGCAGCGAGTTACCCTCTCAGCCCTGGGAAGCCAGATACTCTTCCATGGTAAGAAGTTCACAATGGTAATACAATTCCACTTTCCTATGTAATTTACAGTGTATAAAGCACTTTTATAAATATCGTTTTGTTTCCTTTTCCTAATATGTGGTAGACATGATAATAGCTTATATTTGAATAGTAATTTGCAGTCTATAGAAAACTTTAACTCCGAATACTTCACTTAATCCTCCTAACAAACATATGAGGTACTATTATTCCCACTTTATAGGTTGTCAGATTGAGGCTCAGAGGAGATAACTGGGTTAGCCGGGGTCTTAGAGCTACTGAATGGCAGAGATAAAATGGACCCCCAGCCTTTAGACTACAAGCCCAGGGTTTTTCCACAACACTACAGCTGCTTCTCAGGATTGTGGGCGCTGTGACCAACCATCACATGCTTCCATCTGTGCTTTCACTAAGCATAGAAAGGCTCAGCAACCTGAAGGCTGAAAAGTGCAGGGCACAGACCCCCTAGTGTGTGGTGTTGGAGCAGGGTCCCAAGGCCTCCTGCTGGGCCAGGCAATACCTTTTGGTTGCTGGGACATGGGAGAGGTGTGGATGCCCAGGGTGGCAGGAGGGCCTTTGGGCTGTTTATTGATCAGTACAGAAGTACAGGCCCACAATTTTTTATCCACAACTTTAAAATCCAAAAAGCTCTGGCAAACGCATGTTGTTTCATAATGAATTGAGCCCTAATGAAGGTGGGAATATTGATGTGGTATCTGCATTGTATTGCCTTTCAAAAACCTGAATAATTCTGATTTCTGGAGCATATCAGGATCCAGTGATTTCAGCTATGGGGCTATGGACCATACAACTATTTCAATCTTTTAACAGGTGTACTGGGGCTCTACGGCATACCAGCCCTGCTTGCACCTGCTATACCAGATTTTCCAATGCAGGGTCCTTGTGGGGCTGCTCCCCTTCAGGCAGCATTTGTAAGGAGAAGCATATATCTGGCCCTTCTGCCTTCCTTTCTGTGAGCCTCTCCCCTCCTCCTAGGGCACTGGGCTCTCCTGCTAAACTGTGTTTGTCTGAGGCATCCCCAGCCCTAGGTCTCCCTGTACCTGGTCTCCAAAGCCAAATTTTCCTACTCCTTTTCTATCTGCTTCCTTTCTTCAAAACTCCCATTAGTGGTTTCGTGTTAAGGGAAAAACAATTGACTGAATCTAAACTACACCAGTGTGTGAATGACTAATGGCCACCATCCCAAATGGATCTCTAATTGGTGCAATTTCAAGCAGTCTGATTATGTGGAGAATTTACGTGGAAGATCCTGTGAAGAAAAGATTCAGCTGCGTCTTTTCTGCAGCTTTCAACTCCCAAGTCAGGTCCAGTCTTTACACAGACTTTTGGGGGTAGGACACTGACTCCTGGGGTGGTCATGGCCCCATCTCTCCTTGTCAGGACACTGTGTAGTCTGATGCATAGTTCTTTCCTAGCACGTTCTATGGGGAGCGCCATCTCTGGACTACCTTTCTGTTCCAGTCTTGTAGGGCCATTATAAAACTCCCAAGTCAGGTCCAGTCTTTACACAGACTTTTGGGGGTAGGACACTGACTCCTGGGGTGATCATGGCCCCATCTCTCCTTGTCAGGACACTGTGTAGTCTGATGCATAGTTCTTCCCTAGCACGTTCTATGGGGAGCACCATCTCTGGACTACCTTTCTGTTCCAGTCTTGTAGGGCCATTATAAAGGAGCAGTTGCCTCTTGGCATTGAGGCAGATCAGTGGCAATGTCACTGAGTTTCATTTTCACAGGTCGTGGCCCCCGTAGAATGGTGACCTCTAGCCTGGTCATGAAGCATGGTTGTCTGCTAACAACTTTAGAAGAGTTAGAGTGAATAATCTCTGTGAACATCTTTTCCTGGAAATTACTCAATGATTAATGGAGCAAAGACTTAAGGGACCATGATCCATGTAAATCAATATATAGATCTAAAATTCTCCAGGAGAGAGTTGATTTATGGAAGAAGGAAAACATATATCACACTTGGCAAATTTAAAATAGCTCTCTTCCTAGAGAATAAATGAAAAATTAATTTCTATACGCCATCCTGAGAGTCCACTCAACCTGCTCTTTTATCAATTTTTTAAAAGTCTGACAAGATCCATAAATTTTCTGATTTTTTTCCAGGAAATATTTTGGTTTCTGCTCGGCACTAGAAATGAGAGATGCTTAAAAGAAAGGAGCAAAGGTCTGATTGCTGAGCCAGGGCATTACGTACCCTTCTTCCCCCCAGACCTGAAGCACCTACATTTGCTTTGGCTGAGAAGGCAGCCTAGGCATGCCCGCTTTCAGCCTGGGAAGGTACAGCAAAACACTGTTTAGCTGCATTCAACCTGCTCTCATCCTCTCTTGCAATACACATTCACGGCATGTCATCCCACTAATGATAATTTCTATAGCTGGGCTTTTTAAAGGGATTGTTGTATACAAAGGGCTGTGGGGATACAGTGAAGGTGATTGATTTGACCACTTAAACAGGAGGTGTCATCTGACTTGGGTTCTAATCGTGGAGATTTCCAGGTGGAAAAGAGGACATATTGGGAGGAGAGGAGAGAAGTGCACCGCAGCCTTGGAATAGCCAGTGCAAGGCGTGGGAGGTGTGAGGGCATTGCAGAGATGGCAGGAGACTGAAGCACCAGGCTCACTGTGGGGAGCGGAGAGAAATGATTCTGGGAAGGGGCGGAGCCGGGTCTGGGGGCCTCCAGTGACTAGAAGGTCATCTGTGAAAGTTATTAAGCAGAGAAATAATTTTTACTTCTCTAGAAGTAATTAATCAATCCCTAATTAAAAAAATATGAGAAAGATTCTGAGAGGGTATGTTTCTGAACACTAGATGTAGATAGTCCTTACATTGCAGTAGATTATCTATGGGTGAATTATCCCCCTCCCTCACTTTTGACAGGTTCACTGCTCCATAGAATACCAGCCAGAGAGGATGAGCAAGAGAAATAAAGGAAGGTGAAACTTGAGCGTGTAAAATTGGTCATTTCTGGTCTGCCCCTATTGCATAATGTATTCAGAGTAAGTAGAAACCTGAGTGACTACAATTTTCCGAGTTAGCTGGACCATCAT